CTACTTCATCTGAAAGCTCTTCGGCTAGTGAGGTTCGGTCATCATCATCCGAGGGGTCATCATCCAGTGATTCGGGGCATTCGCCGAATGAAGATGGACGATCTACTGAGATTATGAGCGCATCCGAAGGGGCCTCGACCAGTGGAAGCGAGGGGGAGCCGATTAGGACTAGGCGTGTCTCAAATCGACAAAGATATGGGCCTTCCGAAGTGTCGGAGTATGAATGGGTGAATGGAGAGGTGACTTCATATTACTCGCGTTACCGAGATACCACAATGATTACCAACTTATTGGATTACACGAAATGTTTACATTTTGACGCGAAAGAGGAACCATACCCGATCGGGGTTCGAGCGTGCCGAAACAATGCGTTCCCCGATCCCGACACGGTCTGCTTAGACAAGCAGGCCGAGAGGATGGCGTCTTTCTATATATATGACTGCCTTTTGAGAGATTTGAAAGTGACGCTGCCCTTTGATGAGTTTACAATGGGAGTTCTTCGGGTTTTGAATGTGGCGCCGACCCAGCTTCATCCGAATAGCTGGGCCCAGCTTCAAGGGTTCAAACATCTATGCCGATGTGTAAATATTAGGCCTTCTCCCTTGCTTTTTCTTTACTTTTATTCGTGTCGGCCGTCTGACTTGGCGAAGTGGGTATCTCTTAACCGAGTGGGGACTCGGCAACTTCTGGATAGCTTTACGTCATCCTATAAGAACTTCAAGGCTAGGTTCTTTCGAGTGACCATCCGGCCGAATGGACGTCGTTTCTTCTTTGGTGTGGACGACAGGAGTTTGTTTCCATTGTACTGGACACGTGCCCCTCGGCCATATGATGAAGTGCCGGACGAGCTTCTCACAGCCGAAGAGCGATTTGCCGAAATGCCTGCGGGAGCTATGCCTGATAGTGATGAACCGGATGATACTCCCGAGGGGGAAGAGGCTCAAGGTGCTTCGGATGACGAAGCCGAGGATGATCAAGAAGGGCCGACCCACGAGCAAGAGGACGAGCCCGAAACTCAGGAGGATGCCCCCACTCACCCTGATGAGTGACTGCCTTTTTGTACTTCGTAGAATATGAATAGTGTAGGGTTTAATAGGCCGATAGAGCCTTTTTTGTATTTTTTGCTCCAAGTAATGAAAGCTGACTTTTTACTTGCATTTCGTAACCATCTGGCGTATTGTTGAATTGTTGAATACCGCCGTCTTAATGAGAACCAAGCTAAAGTTGGTCTTTTACCAAAATCGAACAAGGTCCTCTGAAACGAGTTAAACAAGTTAAATTGTCCTTTTTTTTTTCTTAAAGGTAAAACCGAAGGGACTCTTTAGGAATTATTTGTTCTTTGAATCAAAGCCGAATGGGTTCGTTCGGTCATGAAAAACTGGGAGAGTTCCCTCGGATTTGATTGAACTGAACCGAGTGGAGTCATTCGGACTTGATTGCTTTTGGACAAAAACTGAATGGGTCCTTCGGGATCAATACCTTTTTGAGTCAAGGCCGAACGGAGTCACACGGAATTGTTGCCTGAGTCATAACCGAATGGATTAATCGAATGGGTCCTTCGGGATCAATACCTTTTTGACGTATTAGAGGGTAAGTTAATACATAGCATTTTCCTATACAATATAAGATTTGAAACAAGTTGGTATCCTTTTTTCATTCATATATACTTACAATACATTTGTAGCATAAAATTTCATATCATGTACTAATAACGCATGAAGCAAGTTTGATGCATAAAAAGGTAGTGATTGGTCTCGAGTACAAGGCTTATTATTTCATACTTGTACTATGGGACTGGGAACAAGTCTCTTCTCTATGTGAACTCTAATAAACTAGCTATCTTTGAAACCTATGTTTTGTTTTCAAGTAATGACAAATGATATAGCTTTGGAACTCGTTATTATATTGTTGTCTTGGAAGCCTTTCGTGCAAGTATTATCCAACAAAGCACACGATACAAGACAAAGAATCCTAGCATTATTCCCACATTCATCCACCTGTTATCCCTTTCAAGTCCTCTACTCTTCAACACATCAAACCCAGTAATCAAACACTGTGACCCCTCCATTTGATGTGAGAAGCACTCATTTCTAACATTCCAGTACTCATTTGTGAGGAGTGCATCCAAAGGGTACCTATAGAGAGACACATAGTACATGAAAAGCCAATACTTTGGGATGCTCTCCTTTGGGATGAAGTATCCAGAGAAGAGGAAGAAGGCTCCAAGCACTGTGCAAATGAGTGAGTTCCCTGAAATGAAATCAGGAGAGACTGCACTTAAGAAGAGCACTAGAGAACTTGCCATGAGCACAATGAGCCACACCACAAAAGTGAAGAAGGTGAAGGCAGAAAGGGAAGGATTGAGTCCTACAAGCCAATACACAGGAACAGCAAAAAGTATAGATACCACAAACAAGAAAGGAAGGAAGACAAAAGTGTTGGCTATCATGTAAGAGGAAATCCTATAGGCTCCCCTTGAGGCTTCTTTCATCAGAACGCTCCTCTCTTGAAGGTATATTGGAAGTGCTTCAACTGTAGAAGAGAGGAGAAAACTAAGGCTAAATGCAAATAGACCTAACCTTTCTGCAACTCCTCCTTCATCTCTTCTTACCTTAACGTATACACTTCCTAGCCCGAAGCCACCAACTAGTGCTTGCATTGTTCTAGCCAAGAAAAGCTGCTTTGTTCTATAGATGATCTTCCAAAATCTTGAGCACAGAAACAATATCTCTATCAAGTTTGTATAACAAAGACTGCCAAGACTTTCCTTGTTACAATGTGTTTGGACTCCACAGTTTTCTTCCTCTGGCCACATGAGGTTTGGAAATGACTCCTTTTCCTCAATGGTGCATGTGTCATATTTGGAGCTGGAATCTTCCAACCCGCGTATGATTTCCATGGAGAATTCTAACGCATTCAGTTGTTTAGGAATTTGAAATCCCAATTTAGTTATGGTTTCCTCTAGCAGTTCTAGGCTACCATTGTGAACAACTGAACCATGTGAGAGGATCAAGAACTTGGAAATATACTGCAATATTCTATAGCTTGGTTGGTGGATTGAAAGAACCACTGTCCTTTTCTTTGCTTTAACAATTGACGACAGAAGCTCTATGACTTGCAAAGCTGAAGTGCTGTCTAGACCTGATGTTGGCTCATCTAGGAGCAAAATCGGAGGATTGTGAATCATATCAACTCCAATAGACACCCTTTTCCTCTCTCCACCTGATATCCCTCTATTCTCTTCATCCCCCACAAAACTATCTGCAACATGAAAAAGGCCTAGCTCTTGCAACAAGCTTTCTACCCTCAACTCTCTATCCTTTGGTGCCATTTCCTTTAGCCTAAACTTGGCACTAAACAACAAAGTTTCTTTCACAGTTAGCATAGGAAGCAAATTGTCCTCTTGTGCCACAAAGCCACATATCTTTCTCAACTGAGCTGGACTAGTCATAGGCTGATCATTGATTGAGATGCTTTTAGGATCAAAATCTTCATTTTTTACCCTTCCGGCGATGATTCGCAGAAGGGTAGACTTTCCTGTGCCACTAGGACCAACAACAGAAACAATCTCAGAACTTCTGGCAACAAAAGAGACTGACTTTAGTATATTTACAGGCTTTGGTTTTTGAGTCAGGTGACTAAAGGGAAAGGAAGTGGCCTTATGAGGGTGCAAAGTGTAGGAAAGATTTCTCACTGAAAGTTTGCATGCAGTTTTGTGTTGATGTAGTGATGGTGGTGGTGAATGGTTGAAAGATGAAGAAGGACTAGACTCTTCAGGAGAATTAGATGTTGAAAACAGTATCACAGAGTCATCTTCAGTGCTAGATAGCCTAGGTGGCTTCAAGCAGTCTGCCATTGTGTTAAATTGGTTATTCTGTGGAAGAAAAGTGATATTGAGAAGTCTACATTTTATGGGAGAATGTTCTAGTTGAGAACAAATGGAAGTTGCAACAACCAAGTTGACGGTTATGCAATTGTAGGTGCTGACATGTTTGGTGGAGGTAGGTTATCTGTGATATTTAACTCATCAAGTGAAGCCTTTGGACAATTTTTACATGCATTCCTACGACATTATTTCATTAACTTATTAACCAATTTCCTTGATAGATTTACAAACACTCATCACCAGGTTTGAAATTCTACCAAATCTGACAACTTTGAACAGAGAAAACAAAATGAAAAGTTATGCAAACATGAATGTTATAATCGGTAATTGATTTATTGATATGTATAAAACTAGTTTGATTTGGACATCTAGTTGGTTTTATTAGGTGATGCTGTTGTAGAAGATCATGTTTATAGGGACAAATTTTTGGACCAAGTGCAAGGTTCTAGAACTTCTGAGAGCTATTGAGTAATATCATTAATTTCATTATCAACATATAAAGAACAAGGAATTATAAACTTCAAAGATATCTTTTTTAAGGCAGAAACATAACTAATTAGAAGCGCAAAATATACAACAAAGTTCAGTGTTGAAACTTTGAGTTTCGAACTAAGAGCAACTCTATTTGTCTCATGAAACAACTCAAGTTCCGGTTTCTTGTTATTGGAGGACTCTGACGTGGCAACATGAGTTATTTGAAAAAGAGAGAGTTGCTTCCTTAAGCAACCATTCCTTACCAGATTTCAAGCAGATCTTATTAAACATATTTGGGAACGTTTCGGAAATAATAATTATGAAAATTAATTTCGTATAATGTCTATGTATTTACTATTATTTTATTTATTTTTAATATCTACTTATTATGTATTTTTTCTCGTAACTTATTTTCTTTCATTGTAGTGCAATTATCCTTTTTAATAAAAATTTAAAATTGATTCATAAATGATTAGAAAAAAAATTATAGAAGTTAAATTTCTTAAAGTTTCTTTTCATTGGAGTAAATTTGAGTTTGAGTCGTTTAATACTGATATGACACACTGGGGACCACTTTTTTTATTTTTTAATGGATGAAACAACTTAAATGAGTTGCTTCTATTGGAGATGCACTAATATTGCTCAAGCGTTGCGCCTGAAAATGAGCCTCAGTAAATGGATAAATTTAATTTTTTTTAAGAGCGTTGTGACAGAATATTTTTTTTTAAAAATTAAGTATTTTGTATAATTTAAGTTTTTTTTTTCAAACACGTTAGGCTCGTGCCTTAGTGCTTTACCTTAGGTCAATTTTAGGTGTCAATTCTAGCATAATTGATCTCAAGTTTGGCCCCATGCGTTAATCAACTTGGGTTTGCTTACATCATGTGGCCCATTTGGTTAACAGTTAGAACCTCTCATCCACTTTCCTACCCCTAGTTAGAAAGAAAAATATTAAAGTCTACTGTTTAGGGTTGATATATGTTGGTAAAGCATCTCTCCCAATATTGATAAACAAATTATGAGAATAGCCATGTAATTTTATGGCTTGATATTTCTTTTTCCTTTTCTCCAATCGGTACTAAGAAAAGGCTATTTCTAAACTGCTTTTTAAAGTTAGTATAAGAAATAATATTTAATAACTGTATATTTTTTTATATAATCATGATATTGATACAAAGTATTTATTATTAAAAATAATAATAATATCTAGGAGTATTTTTATTTAATATAGTTTATTCGAAATTCAAAGTTACGATTCAGATCTTGAATAATTTGATTAAGGGACACAAATTACCGACTAATGTTAATTTTAATAACTATATATTGTCAAATATAAGTATTTGGTAAAATCATATCAATTGCAATGGCAAGGTCAATTTCTCACCAATTTTTAGAACACTGTGTATTATCTGTGTATAAAGCATAATTATGAAAATAGATCAAACTAGTATGACTGAGAAGTGGTCATCAACTAGTTCAATTAGTCTAGGAAACTATTTTGCATTGAACCAATCAAAAATCAGTAGAATCGATCTATAACTAATAAAAATCCGATCAAATCGATTTGAATCGGTCCAATTAATATTTTTTTAAAATTTAATTTAATTTTTTAAAATAAAACTAGCATCTAATAAAAAAATTATAAATTAGAATAGCCTATTTTTAATGTTTATCTCGTGAATATAATTTAATAATTTATATTAATTTACAATTTTTAAATTTATTTTTTTATAGTTTATATTATATTAATTTAATATTTTTTTATTCTAAATATAAACTTGTTATTATTAATGAACATATTTATATTTTATTAAAATTTAAACTTAAATATTATATTATATACAGTTTGGAATTTTATGTATATATTAAATGTTAAGAATCTAATAATAACCTTTTACTTTTATTTTTAGAGTTAAAAAATTGTAATATTATATTTATTTTTTATATTAATAATAATAATAAT